GCCATATTGTTAGTGCAGTCAAATGTTAACCTCACGGTAAAAGGAATGTGCGATCCATGAGGAGTAACAATCACAACACCAATTTCTTTATCATAAGCATTTAGAGCTCCATCAAATACCATACTCCAACGAGATTCAGGGTCGGGGCCCTCCTCAGGCAATGGTTCATCATAATCTTTCACTTTCAAGAACATCACATCTTCATCGGGGAATTCATATTCTGCAGACTGATGATCTTCCATCGGCTGGTGAGCAAGGTAATCTGCCAACACACTACTTTTGACAGCCTTTTGAGTGCAGTATTCGATATCATATTCAGATAACAACATCTGCCAGCGAGCAATTCTCCCAGTAAGAGCAGGCTTTTCAAAAATATACTTGATTGGATCTATTTTGGAGATCATTAGAAGCAGGGATATTTTTTGGGTTATTGCAAACTGGGCCAACAAGTCTTACGACCCATAGAATTACTAGATAGGATGGAGGTATGTTCTTAAATCGGAGGGCCCATTATTTTAGAGGCCCATGCTCAATTTTTTTTTAAAGTCTGTACAAAGAGAGTGTTTTGTTGTTTGAGTCGAGTGGCCCATTAAGAGGTTTTGAAGGCCTGTGATTTTTATCAAGGTTGACCGAGTCAACTGGTTCTTATTATTATTATTATTATTATTATTATTATTATTATTATTATTATTATTATTATTATTATTATTATTATTATTATTATTATTATTATTATTATTATTATTACTATTATTATAATTATTGTTAATATAGTAACTAGTATTATTATATTAATTATTGTTAATTACATATATATATTATTATAACTAATATTATTATTTTATTCTTATTATTCATTGACCAAGTCAAGCTAGGGACGAAAACCCTAATGCACCGTAGCGACCATCTTCTTTTATAAGTGACCCAGAGACGCTACAAAGACAAAAAATGATTATTGTACAGATGTAAACCTAATTCATATCAAATCAAGCAAGGATAAATTGAATCAAAATTTGTGGGATTGTACACAGAATCGTCCAATTACAAATAAATATGAAACAAAGCAATAATTAAATCTAGATCTAATTTCTAACCGAATCAATTACAATCTTTTCTAACACAAATTTCTTCAATCTTCCCTAATTTCTAACCAAATCTAAAATTATAACCGCAAATAAATATAATTTTCCTAATATATCTATCTAAAAAACCCTATAAAAACCTTAATTTCTAAGAATGAAAAAAAAGAAAATCGAAAAGAAGAAGGGGTAGAAGAAGGTAGCCCGAAGAACGTCCCCACCGCAAGCTTCGAAAGAGTCTCCATTTCATGTAGACTTAGGGTTTCAAAATCTCAAACCCTGGAGTTCTTCAAATCGCCCCCACTTCCGCTAATATCTTCAACCATTACCTGCAAGAGCAAGGAGAGATCAAAAAGAGGAGATCAGACCAAAAATCAGAAAGAACTCATAGATTTACAGTGAGGAAAGGTAGGTAAAATTCATAGCTTTTGATTTCAACTATGATTTGATTTTCGTTATTTGAGGATATTTATGTTTTTGTGGTGATTTGGATGGTCGATGACGAAGGGTTGGCCACTGTTGCCGCCAGGTTTTAGTTAGAGTTTGTTATTGTTATTGTTGGAGGAAGAAGAACGAGAGAATGGGAGAGAATGAGAGAGAAGAGAGAGAGGTTCGGATGAAGGTAAATGAAGAAAATGAGAAAAGAAAATATACTCCCTCTGCATTCAATCTTTCCAGGGACACATGGCCAACATCCTGCCATGTGATCCCATATGCCCTCACCATACACCCGCATGCCCCTATCATGTGATTCCCATCAAACGATCCAAATCTCGTACGCACACCATAACCTGTACACAGACATGCACATAATCGAGCAAACCCTCCATAGTGTCGCTGGGCCTTTCACACTCCAACCTGGGCCTAAGCCCGTTCAAACCACACCCCACTTTTTTTCGTTGCGTGATTGAAAATACCCCCCCCCACGTTTGGATCAAAAACCAACTATTAGGCTCAAGTCTGTTACTACCCAGACCCCCCTAAAATTACTACGAAACTAAAACCTTCACCCCCTACGTTTTTCGCCTAAATCCAATATATGGATTTAAGGCCATGTTATTCACACCCCCATAATTACTAGCCAAACTAAGTTTGCACCACCTGCGTATTTAAAATAATTAATCTATTTTTATAATTTTATTTATTTATTTATTAAATATTTTTCATATTAATAGTTATTGGACATCTTTAATATTTAATGTATTTTTAATAAATTATAAAATTGTTATTTATTAATTTAAACTCATTTTTTAATCTTTAATTGCATTAAATTCTTTTTTTCCCATGCATTAAAAAATATTTTTTCTTATATTACATAATATATTTGAAAACACCTGCCAATCAAATACTAACCCCTTTCTTACTAACTTAATAAACTCAAGATATATCTTCAAAAAGGATTATGGAGATATTTTTTTATCGACTGCGAACTTCGTCTACAACTCCGCAATTTACAAATCCAAACTTGGTTCAAGGAGAAGTCATGATATTTCCATAATCCATAAAAAAATTAACCAAACAACTATGAGCTACGAATTAAGACTATGATTCCTCATAAGAGGATACATAGACATACAACTTAAAACCGTGGTGAGTTCCCCTAATTAAAATTAAAACCCTATTTCTAAAATTGTAAACCTAAACCCTAGTATCCTTGTGAACAAGGTAGATAAGGGGAGCCTAACACCTTTCCTTTGTCTAAAGTGAGTCAACAACTTAGAATCTCTGATCAAATTAGGGTTATCTGTTATATTCCATTCCTTAGGATCAAAATTAATGGTGGAGACTCTATATTTTAAAACCCGTTATTACAACTGGCGACTCTGTTGGGGATCCAACCCTAGGTTTTAGAAGCCTCTCTTTAGGATGTAGGGTTTTTTAGGATTTTTCTATTTTGATTATTTCTTTATATTTATTTGTTTCTTTTGGTTTATTTATTTTTCTTTATATCTTTATTGTCATTATCTTATTTGTTTGTGGTGGGATTTTATTATTTTAAAAATAGATTTTCAAAAACCTTAGAAAGAAGGTTCGTCTATTAGCCAAGAGGATACATGATCCCTATGAGTTTTTGTGACGACTTCGCCTAAAGTTGGTGGAATTCCAAAAAATAAATATGTCTCAAGGGGTATCCTCTTGGGGGGTAGGACTTTGGAATGAAACCTATGACTTTTTGAATAACCCTTAAACCAAAATCTCACGGTCAGACATTTCACGATCTTAGAGACGAATGTTTCGGTCTGTAAAGAGACTCTGCTTAAGGGAGGCCCTTGTGCCTTTCCCTATAGTGTTATTCATGATACCCTTAAGGAGACCATCTTATGGAGAGGGTATAATATCCGTAAGCCAAATCTAGGAACCTACCAACTAAGGATACCTTTTATGAAATTCCTTTACTATGCCATACAATCATGCATTAATACATCTTACATTTCACATATTCATTATTCTCTATTCTTTTTGTCTGCCTTATTAACAGGATTAAAAAAAATAATCAAAAGGTTTTGGTGAAGTGTCTAAAAAATGAATGTCAAAGGGAAACAACTCGTCTGTATTAGTATCGTTAAGCCAGATAAATGATGAACTTTGATCTTCAATCGCTGCGGCTCATGAAAAATCTTCGTCCTCCAAGAAACTCATATGTTGCTCTCTCCAATCTTCATTTCTTCGTGCGGCCAAAAATCCTCGTTTTTATCATGGAAACTCCTATAAATAGAAAACACTCACCTAAGTCGATTGGAAATACCAAAAATTCTCCTTTGGGCCACAAATAGTGAAAAATAAGGAAAACATGAAAAATCAACGTAATTGGCCAACACGGCTCGTGTCAGGCGACATGGCTTCCCGTGTTGGCCCTTTGGTATTTAATTTTTTTTAATCAACTCCCAAGCATGCTGACACGACCCGTTTCAGGTGACACAGTCTCCCATGTCAGCCCCCTGGCATTCAGCTTTGCACGCACGCATATCCTGACATGGCCCGTGTCAGGTGACACGACCCCCGTATCAGGCCTCCTGTAGCATGAGTTTTGCACTTTCTCTGAAACTCTGAGATTTGCACTTTCCTGCAATGATTTGTCCTAATTTATTCCTATGAACTTAAAAACAGTAAAATACATGACCAACGCATAAAATATAGAAGAACAAAATGAAATGCTCGACAATATAAAGAAAAGATAGCTAAAATCAATGGTAAATTATTGTGTAAAAACCACTGATCAACAATGAAAGAAAAGGTTGACAGAAAGTGAGCAGAAAAAGAGTATGGAAGGAGAACGGTGAATCAACGACGAAAGTTCGTGTGAAGAGTTTGAGAGTTTGCGATTGAGAGTTTTGCAGATTGAGGGTTTTTGAGATTGAGGATTTTTCATGAATTTGGGAATTTTGTTTTGCAGAAGAAGAAGAGTGGAGAATAGAAAGTAACGACTCAAAACCTAGACTGTAATAATTTATTTTTATTTTAATTAACCTTATGCAGCGCTTTTAGAAAGCGTTGCCTAAAGTGTGACTTTAGCGGCGTTTTGGGTCTATGGCAGCGCTTTCTACTGTTTAGTCTATGGCAGCACTTTGAATTTAACAGCGCTTTCTAAAATTTAATTTTAATTAACCTTAGGCAGCGGTTTTAGAAAGCACTGCCTAAAAATTGGCTTTAGCAGCGCTTTGGTCCTATGGCAGCGCTTTCTTCCGTTGGATCTATGGCAGCGCTCTTTAATGAACCCAAAGCAGTGCTTTTTCTCAATTTTACGCAGCACTTTTTTATAAAGTGTTGTCTAATATATAAGTTTTAAATTTAAAATTTTATCGAGGCATATAGCAGCACTTTGATATAGAAGCACTCTCTAGGATGAATGGCTAGTTTCTAACGGTATGATTATTTATCTTTTTACGATTTTATAAACAGAGAATGAAAAGTCATATTAAAATGAAGATAATACACAACACTTGTGATATGAAAAGTCATATTAAAATGAAGATAATACACGACACTTGTAATATGAAAAAAGATAATAATAATATGGTTGACAATTTATTGCATACACTCGTGAAACACACACGCACTATATATATCACAACTTTGTATACGTATACATACAACCCTTAATTAATTTAAACTTAAACATATTAGTTTATTTTTCCACAATTCTTTCTGATCTCTCCATTTGATCCAGTGAGAGGTTTAATATCTCCCATCTTGATCATAGCAGTAGCAAAATCAGAAAAAAAGGATTTTGGATTAGTACTATAACCACTCACTATAGAATCGGCGGAGCCGCCGTTGAAAAGCTGTTGGTCTGAATGGAGAAGACCCTTCTTCTGAACAAGATTTTTAAAGTAGTCGTTATCAAAAGAAATGGGAGTCTGGAGATCAAGGGGTGCCAAATTGTTATCTCCTGTTCCGGTTACATTTGGACAGTTAGATTGCCTTATGCTAGCAAATGAAGTATATATGTTTGTTTCGGTGTAGATTCTTGTCCTAAAGGTTATGCACCTTGCTTGTCCAATTGTGTGACCACCTGGTCAATTAATTAAGTATAAGTAAAAAAACTTCATGTATTTCACTAAATCACAACAACTATACCTGATAATGCGACTAAATCCTTGATGGAAAGACCATTATTACTAAACATTTTGGCAAGTACTTTGAGGTCAGAATCTGATCTCGGAATGGAGGTAGCTGCGGCAGATTGATTGGCTGTCGTAGCGTCTCTTCTTCCAAGTTTTACATTCCATGTTGGGCCTCCAAGCTACCATATAAAATAAAAACAACACAAGAGTAAGAATACCATATTTTCATGGTTAGTTTTGTATCTAGTTTTTTATAGGTTAACTAATAAATCATTGTTATATGATTACACATACAATTGTAACAGAATCTGCAGCTGCAATGGCGAGAATATCAGCACATGATACAACTCCGGGACATACACTCTCTACAGCTGATTTTATGGTGTCAATTACTTCAAATCCACGAGCAGAGTTATTGTTCTGGAGCGCATGTTGCTCTCCGGTAAAGGTTGCTGTGTCATCGAGTAGAATGGATCCATCACAACCCTGTAATATATAAGTTGTTCACAGTGTCCACGAGATATAATAGCTAGTTAAACTCGTGAAACATGAGAAGACTTACATTGACAAAACAATCATGAAAGAATAAACGGAGGATGGAAGCACCAATTCGAGCCTCCTTTGATATGGCAGATTGCATGGTGGATTTCACAGTAGAAAAGAGTTGTGGACAAGAACTCGAATAAAAGTATGTAGAAAGATTTGCATTGGCAGTCCCTATTATTAGAACAAATAGAACCAAACCGATCGTGGTTAATCTAGAACCATTTAAAGGAGCCATCAGCAAAATCCTCTAGTGTTTCTGTTTGTTCTTGAGAAGAGGGATGTGGTTTATCAAATTGTAAAACTAGTTCCATATTTATAATGGTTCTTTGCAATGGGAAGGTTTGTGTGAGTCAATGTATATTACGTAGAAAATAGACAAATCATTTATGCATGGGCCGGGAATATTAATGTGGCCATATATTATAAGAATTTTTCAAAAAAGTAGTGCTCTATTATACAAACAAAATACTATATTTATTTGTAATTTTTCTGTTCTATTAACTTTCCATAGATACATTTCTCCTAATGAATTTATGATTATGGTGTATTATAACAATATATGGCTAGTAGTTGTATGATTTGATTCGATCAACTCAAAGATAACGAAGTGCAAATTAAAGCAGCGTCGATTTTGTCAAAGTGCTTTACTATTCTTCCAATAAGTTCCTATCAAATTACCCTTTAATAATATTAGGGCATATTGATCAGATTAGTATTTGATTTGTCAGATAGTATTTGAATAGTATTTTTAATTATAATAATAATATAGTTTCTTTATAACGGTAAATTCACTTAATTTTGATGCATTTGTTTGCACAGCATCAGTTGAATTAGTTGTGACTACGAGAAGGAATGGTCAAACGTAATAAATTCCATTGCAACATGTTTTTGGTTTTATTATCCTTACTGTGATAAACTTTTAATTAGAATGGAGATGGTAGCTCACTTGCTTGAGTTAAAGAAACAAAAAAGTTTGACGTTGCTAAAGATTAATCTAAAGAATGAGAATTACACATCCTCATATGACATTGAATCTATACTCAAATGATTTATTCAAAATTATCATTTTTGTTGGTGCATAAGGAATGTAAAAGATAAAACAAATATTTACTGACAGTTTCAAAATAAGGATTTACAATGAATTACAATAACTTATTTCACTAGACTATTTATACACAAAATTAAATCTGAAATATATATTCTAACAAAGATATAAACAATCTAAAAGATATTCTTAAATATAAATTAATATGTAATTATTATAAAATCTAAATTAATTCTAACATCATCCCTTAATTTATATTTACCCAAAACTGACAACACTAATTTCATCCCTTAAATCAAGAAATTGATCAGTTTTGATAGCCTTTGTCAGAACATCTGACAATTGCTTCTGGGTGCTACAGTGCACAATTTCTAATATTTCATTCTGAACATGATTCCTCAGAAAATGATACTTAGTCTCAATATGCTTGCTTCTCCCATGCAACACTGGATTCTTGGCAAGATTGATTTCATACTTGTTATCAATCATCAGCTTCAGAGGTTTATTTACCTCAATCTTCAGATCTTTCAGCAAGTTCATAATCCACACAGCTTGACATGAAGTCAGAGCGCCTGCAATATATTCAGCTTCACAAATTGACAGTGCAACAACAGGTTGTTTCTTGGAACACCAAGAAATAAGACCTCCCAGAAATTTGAATAAGTACCCATAAGTACTTCTTCGATCAACTCTATCTCCGCACCATTCAGAATCAGAATAACTCAAGTACTGATTCGATCTTTCTTCCAGACGGAAATAACACTCCATATTTCAGAGTTCCCTTCACATACCTCAGGATCTTGACTGCGGCTTGGTAATGAGACCATTTTGGTTTGCTCATAAATCTGCTAATCATTCCAACTGCATAGCAAATATCAGGTCTGGTATTACACAAATACCTCAGAGAACCAACCATCTATTTGAAGGTTGTAGCATCCACATCCTCTCCATCAGAATCAAAATCAAACTTCTTATTTGTATCAGCAGGTGTGATAGCAACCTTGCAATTTTCTAGCTCAAATCTCTTCAGAAGCTCTAGTTCATACTTCGTCTTATGTAAAATGATTCCTTTCTCATAGTACATAAATTTCATCCCAAGAAAGAAACTCATTTTCCCAAGATCTGTCATCTCAAATGCATTCATCAGAACTTTCTTGAACTCAGCTATCTCTTTTTCAGAACTTCCTATGAGTAATATGTCATCAACATACAAACAGACTAGAATCATATTATCTTATGAAGTGTGCTGAACATAAACACCATACTCCATCTCACACTTCTGAAATCCTTGTTCCTTGAAAAACAAATCGATCTTTAAATTTCAAGCTCAGGACGCTTGCTTCAATCGATACAATGCTTTGTGTAATTTGAACATCATCCCTTCCTGATTCTTTTTCTCAAATCCAGGAGGTTGTGAAACGTACACCTCTTCTTGTAATGAACTATTCAGAAATACAGATTTTACATCTAAGTGTATCAGAGGCCAATTCCTGTTAGCAGCTAAAAGACAAAAGAAATATTTACTAACAACTTAAAAATAAAAATTTACAATGATATCTTCTAACAAAGTTATAAACAATCTAAAAGATATTCTTAAATATAAATTAATATCTAATTAATTACAAAATTTAAATTAATTCTAACAATTTTTACATCTTCACCATAGAAACTCCCATAAAAGAAAGACGATCAAGAACGAAAGAGAAAGAAAAACGTACAAATTGGTTACAATGATTGTAACTGGAAGAAAAAAACTGTAGTTTTCAGGTTAGAGGAGGACTGAGGCATTTGGCTATCTAATACCAGTGTTCGAATACAACTTGCATTCCTTACTTGAATTCCATTGGCACAATATAAATAAATTATAAAGTTGCCCACAAATTTTAAGAAAGTCCTACCAGAAAACGTAGTAATAAAAACTTGGAGAATAAGAAACAATGAAGTAGACACGCAGAAAATGTTTTCTAGCCTGTGACGAACCAATGCTTGAATGACATGTAAAAAAATCAAAACCAAAACAGAATACAAAACACAACAAATATTTGTTCTTCCCATGAAAATCTAAAACTGAATTTGAAAAGAGAATCAACAAAGCAGAATACACAATGAAAATAACATTAAAAATTATAATTGTAAACATAATTAATAATAATAATCGTGGGAGCCAAACTTGTATGGTATTTGAATGAAACACTCATAATTATCCAGCGCTAATCACATTCATAATATTAATACAAATTTAACAAACTCATGTTTTCGTAATCATCATAATATTAATATTAGTATATACTATCAAATCCTAACTATATATACGCCATGCAATGTCACGCCTTTGATCTACGAGAAGACTCAGTTTGACGTGAAAGTTTTTGTTAGGGAGACTAGTGATAAGGAGGAAGTTAAGACTCTTGATTCTAATTCTAGTGAGGGTAAGTCTACAATTTATCTTGCCCTAGAACTCCACGGTAAATGGAGTTGTAGAGAGGAAAAATAAGACTTTGCAAGAAATAGCTAGAACCATGATCAACGAGACTAACATGACAAATCCCTTATGAGCAGAGGCAGTCAATCCAGCATGTTACATTCAGAACATAGTCTCTATAAGACCTCTTCTTGGTAAGACTCCTTATGAATTGTGGAAGAACATAAAACGAACATTTCATATTTTCATCCCTTTGGATGTGATTATTTTATTCTTAACACTAAAGATAATCTTAACAAGTTTCATTTTAAAGCACAAAAATGTATCATGTTAGTGTTAGAACAAGATTTGGTTCTGCAATTAAATCTTTAAGTTTTGATGATAACAACGAGTATGTTTGTATGAACAATTTTGATAATCTAATGTTTGTTATTTTTAGCATTTAACAAAAAGGTTCTGCTTCGGATGAAAGGCATTGCCAAGTCATTAGAAGAAACCAAATTTCGCTTCTGCGCTACACAAG